ATCTGCAAGAAAGAAAATCTTGTTTTCTGTGGGAAAGTGGAGAAGAGTGAGATGTGTTTGTGGAGGAGGCAGACCAACGGCTGCAGAGCGTGAACCTTCCAAGCTAGGCAGCCGTACCACACCTGGCATGTCTGCAGTGACACAACACAGTTGCCAGATCCCTCTGGACACGCACACATAGCCACCACGAAAGTAAAGCCTGGGGCAGAAGGGTCCAGGAAAACTGAGCAGCATGGGGCCAAACAGACAGAGGGGCAGGGAGACCCCAGGATTAAAGGATTGCACTTGATAAGAGCTAAACAAGGATGACAGAAAGAGCCTCTGAGTCTGCCTAACTGCTAGCAGTCTGCTGTCTCTCCCTTTCCACTCCAGACAAGGTAAGGTTTTTCACCCTTACGGGTTTAATGCATCCCAGCCAGCTTGAGACTGCACATTAATTTCCCAATTCATGAGAAGCTCCAAATTCTTCTCTTTTTTTGCTGCTGTCCTTCCCTAGTTCTTTCACCATGGTTGTGCCTCCCATCTGCTCCCAAGCGGCGTTAAGGGAGCTCCCAGATCTTCATTAGTCCCCTCCAAGCCCCATCCCTGTGGTCTGAGCTGGGTGGTGGCACTTCGCCGCAGTCTCCTACAGACCTAGCTCTGTTTTGCCATGCAGCCATGCTGTTTTGCTATTGTTGCAGACTGACTGAGAAAAGGAGGGAGGGCAGGTTCCCCCCAAGCCTCCTGGTGTGGGGCACACTATGGGGTGCACAGAAAACCTTACCAAGAGGCATGGCCAGGCAGGAAAACAGGAGGGGGAGGTGGGGAGTGCTACAGAAATGGCACTAAGCCTCCTGTCACTGTCTACCGGTTCATTGGGAAGGATGGATAATGGGGAAGGTACTTTCCAGAGACTTCTGGCAGCGAGACAAGTCTCCTGTGTGCTTCTCCTCATGATTTTCTTTTTAATCTCCAGTTTTTACTGCTACTGTGCATAAAGAGAAGATCAGTGCACCTGAGGGCAGAGAGGATGGGTGCCCCTTCCCTTTCCAAAGGGTGCCCTGAGCCCTGGGATCTGGGCAAGGGTGCGGCCAGCTCGTGGCTGAACCTGTGCTGCAATGAGCTGTAGCACCTGCAACTTGTGAAAGCACAGAGCTGAGCCCTATGCGGGCACAAGGGTCCCTGTATTAGAAAACTTCTGGCTCAGCTTGACTCCAGGGACCCGGGCCAGGAAGAGCACCCTGGTACCATGCTCCGGTCCTGGGGATCAGACCCAAGAAGCCAGACCATGGCAGTGCAGTGCGGGCAATACCAGCAGGGAGAGTCCAGCTGCAGGAGGAGGGTGGCAGGGATGGCACCCACTCCTGCTCAGAGCTCCACAGACTGCCCAGGGGTGCTGGCATCTTCCCACAGGACAAATCTCAGCAGAAAGTGTCTGGGCAAGCAGCACTGGTGAGCCCCACAAACTGGCCAAGGGTGCTGACATCTTCCCACAGGACTAATCTCAGCAGAAAGTGTTTGGACAAGCAGCACCAGTGATGACATGCTAGGAATGAGAGGGAAGGAAGCAGGGGCCTGGGGAGGAGAGATGCCAGGCCTGGATCCTCTCCATCACCCACACACGTTACTGTTTAGGCAAGAGCAAACAGCGTGATGGGACGAGACTAAAGGGGCTTTTCCTCACCTGTTTTCCCACCCTTCCCAACCGTCCACATGTCCCATGTCCTTACAAAATCCCAGGCAGATCCCTGAGCCCCTGCCAGCCGGGTAAAGCACTGGTGCCAAGTGAGCTGCGCCCATGGAGAGCAGCCTCTTGCCTTGACGCCAAGCAGAGAAGACCACCAGCACGGTGGACAACTGGGCCCAACTTTGCATTGGCAGACTTTCCCAGGGCATGGTCACAGCACTGGTGAACACATCTGCACCAGGGATCAATGCGAAGAGGCCATGTGAGGGCCGCGGGAGTGGGAACATCTTCTACCTCCCGTGGTGCTGCTCACTTTGCCTGCGGGTGCATGCAGGGAGGGTGCAGCTGGCTCTTCCTGCTCCCTCCAGGAGCAACATGAGCAACACAGGAGGGATGCTGGTGACAGAAGAAGCCGCCATACGTCATCCCTTTGGAGACAAGGGACAAAACCAGTTCCACTAAAGCCCCTGGAAAGAGTATTATGGCACCAAGTGAGGCCAATGTAGCATTTTCAGTTTGTGTTCACTCTTGCTCCAGAGAAGCAGGCAGGTGTTTTTCCCACGGACCTTCAGTCCTCCCTCCTGGCTGGGACTGCCCATGCCAGGTCAGACCCTGACACTGCAACAGATTGTGCCTGTTGTGTCTTGTGCCCCTTGAATGCACCCTGGGAACCACCCAGGACAGCTTTCATGATGCCTAGGAGAGACAGAAGTGCTCTCACGATCCCAGCTGTGAGATCTGACAACCCAAAGCATGCTCAGTTTCCTTGCATAGATGGTGCCTTGCCTTTCTTTCCTGGCTTCGTGTACAGTCGTGAGGAGAGGGGCTGTTTTGCCAGCCCTCTAGGAAAACTTTTCAGTTATAATGTCTTTTATTCCGTAAAGTGTGAAATACGTGTCCCAGGTGTGGATAAAAGACTGCAGGTGGTTCAACCGATGCTCCAGGACACCTCACACCAAAGTGATCCCTGCTCACAGGACTGCGTCGTGCTGCAACAGATTCCAATCCTGCCCCACCAACCTCTGCAAGTGCAGTGAGGGTAGGCAAAGAGCAGGAAAACACGGCTGGGAAGAGAGAAACAGGAGGGCCTGGAACATTTTTCACTGAATCTAGCTCTTGGCTGGGACCCCAGGTTTTTGACATGGCACTGACAAGTTGCTTTCTCCAAGGAAAGTGTCTGCTTCCCTCTAAAGAGATCTTTGACATTTTGTATTAGAAAAGCTCACTCCGTAGTTCACAAAGTACTGAGCCCTGCTGTTTTTTGACAGATTTCCAAGAGTCGGGCTCCGGAGTAGGAACAGCTGCTGCAGGCCCAGAGGAGGGACAGCCAGCCAGGACCGCGTACCTGGCCCAGGACAGCATCTCCTCCTGTCCCTCACTGGTGGGTAAGGGCAGCCTGGTGCCAGAGCTGGGGCCTCGCTCACCACCCCCTAGAAAGCAGCAGAAGACAAGGACCTGGCAGGGATCTGTGATGAACAGCTGCATTGCTCAGAGAAGGGCGCATTTATTGCTCCCATGAGAGCTGGGAGCCACAGGCTGTGCAGCTACGCTCTTACGTACAGGTCGGCCAAGCAGTCCCTCAAACCCTGACGGAAGCAGATAAACCTGCTTCCAACATCCAAGAGATCAGTGCAAGCCCCTTCTCCCTCAGCTCTCCGAGGAACTTGGCCAGGGCACCATGCTCCTTCTCAGTGTAGCCTCCAGCCAAGGATGAACCTGAAGCACCTCGGTCTAAGCCCCTTCTGCGGCCCCTGTCCTGCACAGGGACCTGCACCAGCTGCAGCAGCCAACCCCTGCTGTGGATCCATGCCGAGCATCTTCCTCCTCCCCAGCCGTGGCCCCTCGCGGGTCACCAAGCGAGCAGCAGGAAGGCTTCTGCCCAAGCAAGCACCAGGTATCCTCCTTTCCCACTCACGCTGTTTGTCTTGGCCTCACTTCCTATACCAGCCTTCCTCCTCTGCCTCCTCCTCCTGAGGATTGAGTTGCTGGGGCTGTCACTGTAGTTAATGAGCTGGGACAGAGCTGGTGCTCTGGGAAAGCCACGCCAAGAGACAGCTGAGCCCAGGGCATTGCTTGTGCACAGATACCAGGGAAGAGGACCCCAGAGCGGGGAATACCTGCAAAAGAAACCCCAGCCACCAACCAAGGGAGCCAGCAGGCCAGGGGAGGAAAAGGGCCAGGGCTAAGCTTGCATTCAGCAGGTCTCAGCAAAGGCCAAGTTGGACAGGGCTCTGAGCAGCCTGATGGAGTTGAAGATGTCCATGCTCACTGCAGGAGGGTTGGGCTAGATGACCTCTAAAGGTCCCTTCCAAACCCAAAGCATACTATGATTCTATGAAAAGCTGTCAGGTGCCTGGACATCCCCTGGCTTGGACAGCCCAGTGGCTGCACCACCGCGGTTACCATTCCCACAGGAGCTGGTGGCCACGTAACCCCTGTCTTCAGGAACAGTCTCCGGGCTGTGTCACTCCCAGCCTGTGCCCAGGCTTGCTGGGTGGCACCTAAACCAGGCCAGAGACAGCGCAAATAATTTAACAATGTGGACAACCACGTCTGATACTGTGGTCTTTGCGAGGAGAGCACAGTGCCTGGCTGTTGGCCATGCAAATCCCACTCGTGCACATTCATAGAATCATAGAAAGTTCTGGGTCGGAAGGGACCCCTAGAGGTCATCTAGTCCAACCCCCCTGCAGCAAGCAGGGACACCACTAACTAGATCAGGTTGCTCAGAGCCCTGTCCAACCTGGTCTTGAATGTTTCCAGGGATGGGGCCTCCACTACCTCTCTGGGCAACCCGTTCCAGTGTTTCACCACCCTCATTGTAAAGAATTTCTTCCTTATATCCAGCCTAAACCTACCCTGTTTTAGTTTAAAACCATTACCCCTCGTCCTGTCACTGCT